AAAAAAAAAAAAAAAAAATTTCAGGAAGCTGTCAGAACTTGAAGGAGGAGGAGCCAGAGCTCACTCACCTTGGGCCCCTGGCCAGTCTAACTGCCTAAGAGAACAGATAGTGCTTGACTCAAGCAACCAGTCCCAACTAGGGAAGCAATGTATCTGTAGCTCTTGATCTGTCCAAGGAAACCCTGCCAACAAATGGAATGCCGAATTTCTACTTTGTAGAGGGATGTCTACCTTAGAAGTGATAATCCCAGAACCCAAGAAACCTCTAGAAAAACTAAACAACCTCGAGACAGGAAAACAATTACTGAACCTTCCTCCCCCATTAATAAACATAAAAGTGTAGAATTCCAGAGATGTCTTTTCTTCATTATGTCTTTATATGTTAGATAGTATTTTACGGACATGTATTTACATTTTACAGAAAATACTCTTGAAATTCAAAGGCTAAATTCAAACATGTTCACCATTGAACACTAAGGCTAGACAGAAATTATTGTATTTCTGTTCGCTAGGCTTCTTTGTATGGGTGTTTATTACTTGTGGGCTAACAGGAGCCAAGATCTCCCTGTGTAGCTCAGACAGGCCTGGATTTTTACTATGTAGACCAGGGGGGCCTAGAGTTCATGGTGATCTTAGATGATTCTAGGATTACAGGTGTTATCCACCACATTAGATTTTGTTTATGTCAGGTATCAGGCAGGGTTTTCACACTGTGCCCACTGAACTCCGAGCAATCTCCCTGCTTCACATAGATTTATTTAGTTGTTGTTGTTTTAAAAACAGCAGGGTGTGATGACACACCCTTTTAATCTCAGTACTTGGAAGGCAGAGGCAGTTAGATCTCTAAATCTGAGGCCTGCCTGGTCTACTTAGCAATTTTTTAATTGCTATCTCAAAATAAATAAATAAACAAACAAACAAAGGCTGGCCAAGTAGCTCATAGGTAAGGGTACTTGTTGCCGTGCCTGGTGAACTGAATTTGTTCCCTGGACCATATTGTGGAAGAAGAGAATGGACTCTCAAAAGTTGTCCTTTGACCTCCCCTGAATCACCATGGATGCATGTACACACATACAAAAAAATTTAAAAAATATGACAAAGAAAAGGGGAAACAAACTCTATTGGCTGTAGTGACTCACATTTGTAATCCCAGCACTAGAGTCGCTGAGGCAGACAGGAGGGCTGCCATGACATTGACATCAGCTTGGGCTGAAGTGAATTGCAGACCAGCTTAACCTCCAGGGTGAAACCTTGTCTCAGAATAGCAGACAAAAAAAATAAAAAAGTTCACATTTCGTTTCTCTTAGAAAGGTTTTCAGTATGTGTTCTTCAGAGATTTGGGGGGCATTGAATTTTCATTACATTTTCCTTTTTTATGAAATTTCAAGTCAGAAACTACTGCTAATGGTCAACCAAATGAAATCATGAATAGGAGCAAGGCAGTCCCTTTTGCCATTTCAATATATTTCCAACTTAGAGGGACACTGAGGGGAATTGTGTATAATTGGCATAAACATGATGTGGTCTGTGAAGAGTCATAGAAAGATAGTCTGTGACTATATCACAAAAACTACATTTTCCATCACGATACAACAGCAAGACCAGCTGATATTTAACTTTTTCACTTCCAGCGGATGGATGGGTATGGATATAGTACATGATACTATTTGAATTAAGCAGATTATTCAAAGGTGCAGAATAATCAACAAAAGCAACTTTAAAAATGTTGATTACAGCCTGGCAATGTGGCACAAGCCTTTAATCCGGACTTGGGAGACACAGGCAGGTGGATCTCTTTGAATTCAAAGACAGCCAGGGCTATGTGTAGAGAAACCCTGACACCAAAAAAGTAAAATAAATCACTTATTGTTATACATAGAGACCTCAAAAGGCAGGGCAAGTACAGGCAAATAATCCCAGCACTTCAGATGCAGAGGCAGGAGGATCTGCTGCTGTTCAAGTCAGCTTGCTCCACATACAGCTCTTAACTCGGTGTATGGCTAACTAGTGGCTTAGCTCTGCACTCTGATCATCAGGTAAGCTTATTAGATCATAAACAAAATATCAGCACAAATAATCTCTGGGGTGGATTTGATTAAATATAGCCAATTAATTCTAACTACCTGTAACTAGGTTTAGAAATACTAGTGGCTTTAAAAAAAAAAAAAAGCATAGGATAGGGACTTCCACATAAAAAGAGTCCCAGATTTAGCTCATGACCAATATGGTAATGACACAATCCTCAGAAACCCAAGATGTGGGGCTAGAGAGATGGCTCAGTGGTTAAGAGCACTGGCTATTCTTCCAGAGGACCCAGGTTCAGTTCCCAGCACTCACATGGTAACTCACAACTGTCTGTAACTCCAGTTCCAGTAGATCTGATACCTTCACACCAATGCCCATAAAATAAAGTTAAATAAATTATTTTTAAAAAAAGAAACCCAAGAAGCATCTTTCTTCCTATTTTTTCATTCCCAATGTTCAATATCATATTCAAAGTTACAAAACAGTGTCAGCCAATACATTTCATCAGAAAAAAACATAGAAGCATACAAAAGGGATTTGATATCTAGTAGATCACTCAGGGGATTTTTCTCTGCAGGCTTTACCCTAGGTCTCATTGACTAGAATGTCATCACATCTAAGGAAACAAGCACGCACGTAATGCCAACTCAAATAAAAGTCAAGGTCTGTGCCCGGCCATGAAGGAGAAAGGATCCATTGGGCAAGCAACCAACAGTCTCTACTGACTTGTGAAATGCTTGTACAGCAATATTCATGTTCTTCATTCAGGCCACTATATTTGTTTCTCCCTATGATTTAGAAATTGTGACATTAGATAACCACTTTTCCGAGTTTTTGTAATAAAAGCTATTATGTAATTATCTTAGTTGCTTTACTAATCGCTGAAACAAAAATACCTGACAAGAATCAACTTGAGGCTTACAAATTCCAGGGAAGAGTCCATCACTGCAAGGACTCATGGATGCTGGCACAGTGGCAGCAATCGGTCCTGATGCATACAAAGCCAGGAAGTAGAGAGAAACAGATCTGGCTGGTTCCGATTGCTTTCTCTGTTTTATCCAGTCCAGGTGGCAGCCCAAGGAATGGTCTTGCCCACATTTAGTCTTTTCAACTCGTTTAACCTGATCTAGACACTCCCTCACAGATCAACCCAAAGATTTGTCTTCTAGGTGATTTTAGAGCCTATCAAGCTGACAATCAACAAAAATCATTATACTGGACTGGCAGTGGTGGCACAAATCTTTGATCCCAGCGCTTGGGAAGCAGAGGCAGGTGGATCTCTGAGTTCAAGGCCAGTCTGGTCTACAGAACAAGTAAGTTCCAGGACACCACGGCAGCCAGAACAATACAGAGAAATCCTTTCTTAAAAAACTAAATTTAAAAAAATAAAAAGGGGGGGGGAGTAACTAAAGGCTGAAGTGGTAACTCAGTAGAGTGCTTGCCTTCCTTGTATTGTAAAAATTCTGGGTCCAACCCCCATCATATCATAAACCAGGTGTGGTGGTATCATACCTGTGTTCCCAGCATTCAGGAGATGCAGGGAAAAAAAGATAAAAACCCAGGATGTTTGAGTTGAAGACCAGTCTGGGACACAGAAGACCTTGTCACAAAATCCACGAAAATAGTAAACAAGATAATAAAAAACCTGAGTGCTGAGACTCACACCTGTAATCCCATCCACTCAAGGCCCAATGAGGTTACTATGTGACACCCTGTCACAAAATAAGACCATTAAAGATAATGACAGTGGTCATTGAAATGTGAATAAGATT